GAATAGAAATTAATGTTTTCAAAAAGGGCCAATATTGTAAAGTCAAGTTTGTAAGTTTTCCTAAACTAAAGAAAGTTCCAAGTTCTCGTCCTAGAATTAAAATCTAGTTCTTTGCTTTAGCAATTTTGATCTCGTCAATCACTTTTAAAATAGTTACAAATATTAAGTGAATGCAAATATATTCTTTTTTTTTATTTTTTTATTTTAATAGTTTATTTCGCCGTTAAAAATATTCACAAAGTATAACAATATAAAAAGAACAATTGGCTGGAGCAAGAAGAAGGCATAAATTAGTCTTATCACCGAGCCTCAATAGTAACGCAAATAAATATCCGTAATATATAATAATCCGTAATATATAAGCAACAGCATTTAAAAAAAGACAATTTTAAGATGTTAAGAAATAAATAAAAAAATTAATAAAATAATTAAAAAAAAAAAAAAAATGATTAAAATATAGTAATAAAAATGACAAAAAGTTTCTGTTTTTGGTTATAAACTGAACGTGATTCGATATATATATTGTATATATTATTTTCTTTCAAAATAATTCAAAATTCAAATAAAATTTCTATTCCAATATCATAAAATATATCAAGAAAATTGTAGGTAACTTTAAGAATATATATTTTCAATGAAAGTATGATAAAGACAATATTGTTAAATGGTCTAGATTTTTAAATTTATGGTGCTAATTTAGTTTAATAAATTTTAAAAGTGACAGAAAAGATCTGCTATACTAAAATCCGTAAGTACTAAATAACGTCATAATTTAGATTTGAAATGCGGAAATGTTTTTTTTGAATATTAACAATATGCTGAAAGTTTTTCCACAAAATTGATCCCCAGTACTAAATAGAACAAGAATATAATTTTTGAGCTACAAAGTTATTTTCTAAAAACTTGGTGGGGAATTTATGGCTTACTTCTCTAAAATAAGGATAGAATATTGTTGGAGACAGTCCATGTTTTATTTGATAACTGTTTTATTTGAGAGCTGTATGACGAGGAATATGTTGATTTTAAAAACATTTAATGCATTGAGTTTACGTAGAAGTGGCTCACAAGGCACAGTTCTTTTTACTCCAAATACAATTCTACATGCATGTTTTTGATTAGAATAAATTTTCTTTAACTTAGCGAAGCTGGTGCTTGCCCATACAATATTGCCGTGGGTTAGATAGCTATGTGTAAAGGAAAAATATAAACTTTTTAAAGATCTTATATCCAAAAATGGTTTTGCTTTATACATCATTGCAATGTTTATTATAAGAGTGCTTATATGTTTCCTCCATGTTAAATTTTTGTCTAAAATAACACCTAAAATGTTTACAGTTGTCTAGCAATATTTATATTATTGATTTTAAGATTAGGCAATTTTATAGGAAGGTTTCCTGTTTTGGTTGGTTTGTGAAATAGAATAAATTTAGTTTTGTTAACGTTAAGTGAAAGTTTATTACAAATAAACCATTCGTTTACTTTGTTTACTTCTTCATTAACTACTTTAAAGAGGGTTTTAATATCCCTATGAGAATAAAGCAGATTTGAGTCATCCGCAAACAAAATAAAATTTAATATGTTCGAGGTAAGAGATAGAGCATTTATGTAAAGAGAAAACAGTAATGGTTCTAAGATTGAGTCTTGAGGAACTCCACATTTTATTATACTTTTTGTCGTTTTAACATTTCCATACTGAATGTATGTTTGATAAGTATTCTTTAAACCATAGTAAATTTTATTCCATAATGTTCAAGTTTTTTTTAAAGAATGATATGGTTAACTGTGTCAAAGGCTTTAGACAGTTGAATAATTTATCAATAAAGACTCCTAATGTAAAACGGTCATCATTAAAGGCATTGGTTACATGAGCTACTTACTCGGTCAATTCGTGACCAATTGAATGATTTTTTTTAAAGCCAAATTGCTTGTTGTACAACATATTATTTACTGTTAAGTAGCTGTTTAGCCTATTATATATTATACGTTTGAATAACTTAGAAAAGCATGGTAAAACTAATATTGATCTGTAATTTGAAGAATCCGTGTCATCACCAGACTTAAAAATAGGCGAGACACGTGCAATTTTCAATTTTTCTGGAACTGTTCCAGATTGAAGAGAAAGATTAAAAATGTGATGTAAAAAGGTTTCTATAATATGAAAAACTGATTTATGTAGAGCAGATCGCAACTAATTAATATCTAGTTTAGATTCGTCCATGACCTTATCATATGTTTTTAAATAAGAATGATATGATGATGAACCTGAAGGAATTTTTTCAGCTAAGTTGGACCAATATTAAGAAAGAAGCTGTTTAGATTTTCAGCTACTATTGACTTGTCATATATTATTTTATCATCTACTAAGAGTTTCTTTGGTTGAATACTTTTTCCATTATTTTTTCTGCCAATAATTTCTTTAATTACGCTCCACGTACTTTTGGCATTTCCGTTATTATTTTTAACAACGTTTTTTTTTAAAAACCAAAAATTTAAAATAAATAAAAATCAACATAAAAAACAATTTCTTTATGTTTCGTTGGTTTATTACCAGAATACATACCAGAATACATTACATACCAGAATAAATACCAGAATACATAGTTTCATGAACTAATCGAATTAAAGATTATCTGACATTTAATGTTTCAAAATTAAAAATTTACTAATAACCTGCTCCTGATAGAGTATTCGATTAAAGGTTTTCCTAGTATTTACATGTCAAAATCTGATCCATTTATTTCTTTTATGAATATATACAACCCATATAGAAAAATCTTCAAAAGTTCATCTTAAAACTGGTTGAAATGTTTTTGAAAAGACCTTGTCTAGGCCAACAACACCGAGGGCCCGCCCGCCCCCTCGCATACTTTTTTTCTAAAGGACATTTTTTTTCAAGAAAATCTTGATATAGAGGATTTTTTTCACGAATTGATGATTGTGTCTTCGCACTTCAAAACCGGTGTTGTCGGCCCTGGTTGTGTGCAAAATTTCGATGACTCCTTTTTTTAGCCAATTTAATGTTCCTACCGCAAAAAATAATAATTTGTTAGCGGGTGTCAGCGGTGATGCAGATATTTAGAAATAAATGAGTAAAAAAAAAAAAAATACAAAAAAACACTTTTATTTATCTTTCTTAAGATATTAAGACCATTAAACATGCAGTTTAACGCTCGTTTTACCATTTTCCAGTCTCGTCAGTATACCATTTTTCGTTTCTAGGAACATGCGTGCTTCTATAAACATTCTCAAAGGCATTGTTACAGAAATTTGTATTTTAACTATTATCATCAAAAACTTACTCGTTTAAAAATAGTAAAAAACACATTATTCCTCGGCTTACAGAAATTTCATAGATTTAACGTTTAGTACTGAAGATTTTTTTAAAATAACATGTTGTTTAAGATAGATGATTTTTTATTTGTTTCTATCGTAAAGAGCAATCATTAAAGTCTACAATTGGTCAGTACGATTGTTTAATGATGTAAGAATACTTTATGAAGTGCAAAAAATATCTTAAGTCACTCATCCGCAATACCGGTTTAACCACTGGGCACACTGGACACGTGCAAGGAGGCCACGGGGTTTAAGGGGCCAGAGTATTTTTGTGAATATTTGAGAGAGATAAATTTAAAAGAACAATTATTATCGGCCTCTATCCTTGACTTCCTCTCATGTCCCAGAGATTTTTAATCTTGGCATAACAGCGCTTACGACGTATTGCAAACTGGACGTTTTGTTTTTTTTAATGAGTGGAAAGAACTTTTGAGTTCGAACATAATAGTGAAAAAAGAAATTTAAAATACTTTGATACTTTATTAATTGCACATTCTTATAGGATTTTCATTCTGCGGATCAGACGAAACACTAGGATCGGTACGCAACGGAAACTTTATTGGATGTATTGAGCTATTAGTAAAGTTTGATCCTTTCCTCGCCCAACATTTAATAACTCATGGAAACCAAGGAGAAAATTGTATGTCGTACTTATCTAAAAAGATTTGAAAAGAACTCATTCACTTAGCCGCCGAGGTTATGGAATTTATAGTTATATGATCATCCTTAAGTAATGTTCATCGTTGATTCTTCTCCCAATGTACAAAACGGAAAACCAGTTGAGCAGCTCAATATTAGCTAGCATTATCTATAAATCATAAGTATTAACTACCATTATATAACTTATAAGTCTTTATTACATTTAAGAAAAATACATATAAAAATACTTCATAAAGCCATAGCGCAACAATTACAAAGATTTTTTTATTTTAAACCGCTACTAAATTTGAATGCTAAGAGGCCAACAGAGGCGAGGAAGCCTAGAGTGCCGGGAAGCATATTTTGAAACCCTATACAGGCTCAGAATAGGCAGAGATATGCGCAATTTGATTCGCCAATTTTGAAAGAGAGGCTTTTGCGCTTGAGTTTAAATCAAAACAAATGTCAAAAAACGTATTGAATAATAAAAGAAAAATAGAGTAATTGCCAAATAATAATGACAAAAAAAAAAAAAGATTTTTCTATCCAATTTTGTACAATATAGTACATTTATTTCCTTAAAAATAACGGTATAAAAAAATTAGTTTGTTTTCCTTATAGTTTTTATAACTCTAAAATATAAAAATAACAACGATTGTAACAAACTATAAACAAGATGGTAAAGCTTTACTATGCTGTGATTCTTCTACGATAGATTTTTTAAAACAGTTTTAAAATTTTACCAAGTAATATCTAGATGAGTTTTTGACTTTATGAAAATCCCGAAAATTTTTTTCTTTGAAAATCCCAGAAAATCCCGGAAATTCATTTTCAGGAAAATTGCATTAAATTAGTTTTTAAACAAGCATAAAACAATGGTCTTTATAAGCTTGTAAAGCTTTAAAGACCATTGTTTTATGCTTTTTAATTTGTTAACTAATATATTATGCTTTTCAAGTTGTTGAGACAAATATTTAGTCCTGAAGCATTTTTTACACCCCAGGACCAAGAATCAAGTCTTGGTTCTGTTTATAGTTTAAAATGTTCTGTTTATAGTTTTGAGATACGTTTAGATACATTGAAGATTTTTTCTCTTGGTTACATTTTGTCTAAAGGGCTAAAAGTTTTCCTCAAATGGTTAAAAAAAAAATGATTGTAGACAAATTTCTGAAAAAGATTGAAATAAACTTGTTAGATAAGGTGAATATATCTAGAATAAATATCTGACCAGTGTCTTGTTAAAATTATATGGTACTAACTACACAAAACTTAATCTTTTAAAAAGAACAAAACTAAACTGAATAACTCTTTAAAAAGTTAATTCCTAAATAAAGAATTTAAATTTATATATTAAATTTTAATTTCTTACTTTTTTAAAAATTCTTATTAATAAAAATTTAATTTTAGTTTTATTAATTATATATTTTGTTGAATCTTAAAAAATTTATCTTATCTAAGTTCTATTTCTAATTTTTAATTACAGAGCTCAAGAATCTGACAAGATGGTGACAGAACAAATCAAGCAACTACTTAAGAATTATAACCGCAAGCTTAGGCCTCATTATATAGGTAACAATTTAGGTTTATTCGTTTAGGATCATTGTGCAAATAAATTATAAACACAGTATATTAAATTAAAATGTTACAGGAAAGCCAGTCATGGTATTGGTGGATGCCACTATTATCTCTTTTAGCAATTTAGATGCTATTGATATGGTTCGTGAGTTTTTTTGTGTTGTTTTTAATTGTGTTTGATGTACCATTTTAAGTTCTTGAAATCTTTGATTTAAAATGTTGCTGTTTCATACATCTAAGTCTTGCATTTTTGAAACTACTTTTAAATCATACTGTCAGTAATTGTTTCTATTTATAACATTGAAGAGAGTAAAAAATACTAAACTTGCACAGTGTAATACATTAACAGCTAAGTAGATATTTAAAAAACTGGTTTACTAAGAGCCCATCCATAAACTATGTAATCATTAATAAAAAAAAATTACACACCCCTCCTTTTTTTTTTCTAATGCATAAAATTTTCAAAGCATTGAAAACAAACAAAAATTTAGTATATACATGTATATATATATATATATATATATATATATATATATATATATATATATATATATATATATATATATATATATATATATATATATATATATATTTATATATATATATATATATATATATATATATATATATATATATATATATATATATATATATATATATATATGTATATATATATATATATATATATATGTATATATTTATATATATATGTGTGTGTATATATATATGTGTGTGTGTGTTTATATGTGTGTGTGTATTAAAGTTTTGGCAGGAATGACATGCTATAGCCCGTGCCTACCTCCACACCTGTGTAAGTCCGTTTATGCAAGGAAAATAAATTCTGTGCAAAGTAATATCTATTGGTAAAAAAGTGTTTAATAAGTTGATATTTTTTATTCAGTTTTTTTTAAAAATGAATAAAAAATATCAACTGAAGTTTACCATGAATGGTAAACTTCAAGTTTAAAACTTTCTTTTTTAAATTAAAAATTTAATTAGCATGTGCTAATAAAAATAAAATTTTTACATTATTATGTAATTTAATATTATGTAAAAAGTAAAAAAGCGAAATTAAAATTTTTTTAAACAGCGAATAACAACTATTCAGCGTTATTGTTCTGTATTATAAGTTAAATATGTTAAAAAGAAAAATTATTCATGCTTAGTTTTGCTCAATTGATTTTTTTTGTTTTTATAAAAAATTATTATTTTTTATAATAACATTAGGGACCCATCCAATGGTTAAGGGTCTTGAGCAACCCCTGATAACATTTTTTTTTCAAAATATTTTAGTCATATTTATATAATAAGTCATATATATAATAAGTCATATAATAACATATATGTATGTATATATATATATATATATATATATATATATATATATATATATATATATATATATATATATATATATATATATATATATATATATATATATATATATATATATATATATATATATATATATATATATATATATAATAAGTCTAGTGTTTTTGTATTATATAGAATACATTTAGGGTAGGAATAGATTAAAGAGAGTTCTAGAGCAGTTTTTAATGTTAGTTATTGGTCTTTCCTTAAGCTCAGTTTCCACTCATCCTTTTTTCTACAGGATCTGGAAAGGGAAGGGATAATTAATCATGTGAGCATGGTAGTATAAATTTTAATTTGTCCAAAGCAAAACTATGGTTATTCACATGATTTATATATATATATATATATATATATATATATATATATATATATATATATATATATATATATATATATATATATATATATATATATATATATATATACATATATATATATATATATATATATATATATATATATATATATATATATATATATATATATATATATATATATATATATATATATATTTTTTTTTTTGTTTTTGTAAACTGATTTATGCTGTTCTAAAAGCTGATTAGAGCAAAAATGTTGCTTTCAATGAAGTCTGTATATATGCATCATTACAGTAATCATTACATCATAGGTGCATCATTACAGTAGTGCATAGATTAACTGCTTTTGTTTAAGCTGTCTGTGTCTCCAATACTTTTATAAGTGATTGATAATAACTTGTGTAGAGTAATTACAAAATCAGAGTTGATTTAGTGGTCCCCGTTGTGCAAATTCTTCAGTCATGAATTGCTAAATTTTGACTATTGTGCGTTTTTTTTTAAACTTATAATGGTAGTTTTGTTTATTATACAAGTTGAATAAAGTGATAAGGAGTATAAATTCTTTTTGTGAAAATAATGCATTAATTCTTTTCGCAAAAAAATGTTCAAAATCTAAAAAGTAACATTTTGAAATTGCTCTGAAAGTACTCCAAATTAAAAAAAAAACTATTTTAAATTATGTTTTTAATTACATTTGAAATAAATAAAGTTAGACCTTTGATCTTTTTTAATTTTTCATAGTACTTAAATTGCTTTCATTTTCATTTCATAGTACTCAATTTGCTTTCATTTTCATTTCATAGTATCAAATTGCTTTCATTTTCATTTCATAGTACTCAAATTGCTTTCATTTTCATTTCATAGTACTCAAATTGCTTTCATTTTCATTTCATAGTACTCAAATTGCTTTCATTTTCATTTCATAGTACTCAAATTGATTTCATTTTCATTTCATTTCTAAAAAAATGTTTTTGTAATACAAAATATATATAATTAAAATAGTTACACTCCCAAATACGAACCATTAGTAAATGTACAACTTGTTGCATTTAAGGCAAAATAATTCAGTGAATGTATGTACAGTGTCTCAAAATATTATCCAACCAAACATTTGAACAAATATTTTTCCTAAAAAAAGTGCTTTATTTTTGTAAATTTAAACTTTTTTGATAAACTCAAGATTATTAAAAATAAAAGAACATGTTTTTAAATATATTTTATTTACTTTAGTGTAAAATATCAATCACAAAGTTTTCAGTCTTAAAATAAAGGAAAAGGTCGTTTTTTTATTGTCAAAAAAATATTCGACCAAACACATTTTTTGTTTCATAATAATTTATTAAATAACAAAACAATTATTTTAATACTTTGTAAGGATTACAGTTTATAGACTTCTCTTTGCTCTCCCTTTGCTTGGATTACAGCTTCTAGACGTCTTGGCATTGATTCAACTAAAGATTTTGTTTCTTCTGGTTGAAATTTTTTCCCAGGCTTCTTCAACTGCCACTTTGAGGTGGCAGTTGAAGTAGCTTTTATTTTTCAGTCTAAAATTTCCCATAAATGTTCAATGGGATTAAGGTCTGGTGATTGTGCGGGCCATTCCGGGCAAACCACTCCTTGCTTTTAGTGGCACTATTCTTGGGATTATTATTATGCTGAAATGTAAAATCAGATCCTAGCCGAAGTTTTCAAGCAGATGACTTTAGCTTGTATTATTAAGTTTCTATCAAAGCTTTTAGAAGTCTTTTTTTTTGTGACCCTGCCCTTCTTTTGTGGCTGTTGTTCCGATCAAATTATACTTCTTCATTATGTTGGATACTGTATTATGAGAAATTCCAGTCTCTTGCTGCACCTGACAATAGGTTTTACCCTGATTAACTAAATCGACAGCTAAATTTCTCTGAGAAACAGTCCAGTAATGTTTACTTCCAACCATTTTATTTAAAAAAACATGAAACCTTTTTTTATGCAAAACTTTTTTTTTTTACTACAAAAAAACAGTTTTTTGTTATGCAATTTCATAATTGTATAAAAATTTGCTAAAATATTTCAACAAATTTCACATAAAATTCATTAAACTTACCTAAATATAGCTTGGTCAGATAATTTTTTTACAAGCCTATTCAATACTAAGTTTCTTTTGGACAAATAAAAAACCAACTGAAGCATGAATCAAAAAATATGAATGCTAAATAACATATTGTTCCCAATAGAACTAAAATGACAGACAAAGTAAGTATTGCTGTTCATTGTTTTTAGTATAATTTAGAGCATAAACATTTTTTTTTTGGAAAATTGTTTGGTCGGATATTTTTTTGAGACACTGTGCATATATATGTGTATATAAACCTAAAATTAATTTAATGGTTAAACTTATTAATCTAAGTTAATTCGCAATGTTTTAAAAAATTACTCTGTGTGATACAATGCAATTGTGATGTAATGAATATTAAATTATTGTGATGTCACACATATAGTTTAGTTGTGATGTGATGCATAACTTATGATTTTTTGCAGATGTATACAATAGATATGTTCTTCCGACAACGCTGGTGGGATCATCGTCTAGCACATAATTTAAGTGAACCAATAACTATTGCAATAGGCACTAGCCATCCATCAAACATTATTTGGACACCAGATACAGTATTTATGAACTCAGTTACAAGTGCACTTCATCACGTTATTGTAGAAAACCACAAAGTTGACATTTATCCGAATGGAACAGTATTCTGGGGGACAAGGTTAGTCAATTACTTTTTCACAAAAAAAGCTATTTAATTTTTATTTTCTATTATTTTTAAACTATAAATTCAGTTTAAAATGATTTATTTTGTCACAACATTTTACTTCTCTACTTCTTCCACATCTCATTGCTTAATCTTCTTCCACATCTCATTGCTTAATCTGCTTCCATATCTCGTTGCTTAATCTGCTTCCATATCTCGTTGCTTAATCTGCTTCCATATTATGAGTTAATTAGTTTTTTCCCTTAATTATTACCTCCAATAATATAAATTATGAATAATTTTTATTTAGAATAACCGTGTCACCATCCTGTACATTGGACTTAAAAGCTTATCCAATGGATGTACAAATATGTGGTTTTGAAATTGTTAGCTGTAAGTTAATAATTTTTTTTTGCAAAAAAATGTTTTTAAACTTATTATATTAAAGTATTTAGTTGTTTTTTTTGTTTTATTTAATTTAGTATTATAGATGTTTAATGTTTATCGTAACAATTGTAAAAATATTTATGTATATTAATAATGTCTGGAGCAATAAAAAGGCATTATTATGATATGGAACTTGATTTAAAATCTTTTACAAAATATATAAAAAATGATTGTTGCTAAAAAGTTAAAAAAAAAAATTGTTCAAATGATAACAATTGTTAAGATTTATTAAGAATTTCTTGGATAAAGAAGATAAAGAACTAAAAGGGTTACTAGTTATAAACAATGAAACACACAGAGGGTCCAATAATTAATTGGTTAAAAAACTAATTTTTTCAAACATGTACATTAAAAATTAATTCAAGTTGAGCTTTAAAACAAATATTTATATAAGTATTTGTTTTTAAAAACATATAAAATTTTGCTGTATTTCTTATTTGCACAAGATGTAATCCAGCCTTATATTGGGTATTAGTCAGCCAATATACACAGTATTCCCAAATAAATAAAATTAAGGATGTACCGAAATTCCATTCCAGCCGAAATTACAATATTTTAGGTGCGAATGCCGGATTTTTTTTACCCTTATTTTTTTTTACCCTTATTTTTAATTTTAAATATAAGTATTATGCAGGGTTAAAACTTTCAATGCCTAAAATGGTAAAAACAAATAAAAACAACATATTAGATTTAAATGAAACAAGAATCAAATTAATTAATTAGGTTATATATATATATATATATATATATATATATATATATATATATATATATATATATATATATAATATATATATATATATATATATATATATATATATATATATATATTAGGGTTTCTCATTTCCCGTAAATTTAGCATCCCGGGATTCCCGGTGTGTAACTTATTTATCCCGGGATTTCCCGGGATTTCCCGGCATAATTTTTAATATAATAACAAGCGGTTTCTGACACAAATTTATCTTAGCACGCTAATCTATATTACTATTTAAAATGAAATATTGTTTTAAAAAACATAAACAATCAATTGATTTGTCACTTAATCGTGAACGAATTTTTCCCATAAATAGACCCGCGGCAGAAAAAGCCCTTTCTGATTCAATTGATGTCGGCTTGATGGTCATTAATGTTGAGTATATTCTTTCTAAACTTTCGCTACGCTTTCCAGTTGCCTCAAAAAGTTTGATTTCTTTTGTGAGGTTTTTTAAATTGCTAATGTTTTCTAGAGCTGCTTTTTCTACTTGTTTGACATTACAAATAGTCGCATCCAATTTTTGTTCAAGCGTCAAAATACTTTTGCCTAATAAATATGGAGCAACAGGTTGAGGTATTGACGGGTCAGAAACCATGCTTTCATTATCACGACTCACTTCAACTATTTCATTATTTGATGAACTAAGGCTAGCATCCTCTATGTATAACCTGGTATAAATTTTTTTTGCTGTTGCTTTTAATGCATGTTTGGGCGGTAAGAGTAGTTTGGAGTTGATATTTGATTCCTGATTATAACTAATTGGGTTGTTTAAAAATTTTAGTAATCCAATTAAATTGGCATTTCTGCGTTCTTCAATTCTCTGCTGCACAGATTGAAGCAGTTTATTAGCTATAAAATTTTTTTTCTCCGTCAAATCGTCTAAGATGAATATCATTACACCTTCTGCGTCAAGTAGAGTAGCATTACTTCTACCAAGTCTTTCTATTCCAACTTTTATTGGTTGCAGAGAAAATGTTATGTTGTTCATAATCGCATATTCATCTTCGGAGATATTCAGAACTTCTTTTAAATCGATCATTGCTTTTAGTATACATGTTTTTACTTTAAGGAATCTTTCTAGCATTGCAACAAGACTATTCCACCTCGTTTTGACATCTAATATCAGCTTAAGCTCTTTATTAAACATAGATTTTACGTACATTTGTAAAACTTCATTTTTAAGAGGTGATTTACGGAACATTCGAACCACTTTTCGAACCTTCTGAATTGTTAAGGCTATATTTACGCTATTTTGTAAATCATCAATAAACGTAACGCCTGTTGAGCTGTGTGACTCATCATTACAGTCAAATACATCATCAAACTCGTCGTAATCACTCAAATTTTCATCGGAATCTTGAAACTGCGATTCAAATTCAATATATTTTGCTGAAGAGTCTGACTTTTTGTAAAGAACATCACATACTGCCAAATGAAGTCCGTGGGCATAACACAGCTGATGTTCAATACCACTTAGCCGTCCAAATTTTTTCATTACGGATGCTCCGTCAGTGACACTAGCTATGATGTGCTTTTTAATTGATAAACTGAAATCTGACAGTTTATTTTCAACTAGATCAACAATTTTTTCTGCAGGAAGTGATCCAGCTATCGGAGTCATTCCCAGGTTCCAAAACTTTGTTGATAAGTGTAAATTTACATTTAAATAACGTCGATTTTTTAAAGACGTATATTCGTCTAACGATAAAGAAAATCGCGACCCGCTAGAAATTTCTTTTGTTATCTCTAAAACCACAGTTTGTCTAGCTAATTCATATTGTTTTTTTATCATACCCATAACATGGGATGGATTTTTTGGTAATAACATGCCTTTTTCAGACAATGATTTTCTAATGAATTCACTTTTTGTTATGGCATTTATTGAGAAGCCATCCACCGTTGCTAGCTTTGACACAATTTCCTCGATAGTCTGCTGTTTAACAAACAATGTTATTTTCTTTTGAACAATTTTATTTTCCGAACCAGTATCTTCAAGTAGACGCTTCATATTTAGATCCAAATCTTTATGTGTGTTTTTTAAATGACGTAGGAGCCCACTGGTCGAAAATCCTTTGCACATTATCTTTACATTGCACTTTTTGCAAATTGCAGATTCGCCAGATTTTTCTTTACAAAAATACTGCCATGCTTTGGATCCATTTACAATTGACATAGTATAACTAAATTGAATCGCAGAACAACTAAAAGTAAAGTTACAAATATTTCTTACATATGTATGTTATCTTAGGTATGACTTTTATGTGTTTGTTTGCCATTTTTTAAATACAAAAATTATTAAATATTTTAATAATTTGATACAGAAAAAGTTTAACTTTTCAATAATTTAGAAGTTTAAAAATTAAACTTACTGTTTTCGTCGCAAGAAATCTTTTTTATTTTTTACTCATATTTTATAATAATGAGAAAAAAGAAAACATTGCATTGCAATGCATTTCTTTTTAGTTTAAGTTTCAATAGCATTTCTTGTTGTGCTAGGTTTTAATATAAGGTATGAACACATAAAACACAACTAAATGCAATAATATTTTTCTTATTTTTGGTCGAATTAGTTCAAAGTTATCATATGTAAAATTATTTAAAAAAAAATTATATTCCGGGATATAAGAGTGATATCCCGGGAAATCCCGCTGCCACTTTTATCCCCGGGATCCCGGGAAAACGGGATCCCGGGATCCCGTTTGAGAAACCCTAATATATATATATATATATATATTAAAGGTTATAAATATATATTATATAGCCACTATGCTGAGGTGCAGACTTCCACTTTAATATTGAAGGTAAAAAACAACATAAATATAATTCTTGTTCCGGCCTGAATTTCATTAACATTTCCGGCTAATCTAGAATTTAAAATTTCCATTCTGGTATACCCCTACATAAAATTGAAATTCCCAATTTAAAGGTTACAAAAAGTTCCATTCTCTGGCTTAAGTTTGTCAAATCATATACTAAAGTTTTATATAATTATAGAAACTATTTAAAATCAATATGTATATATATATATATATATATATATATATATATATATATATATATATATATATATATATATATATATGTTTTTTATTACCCCCTCCCCCTCATTCTCCTCTAATTAAACGGGTGCCGCAACATTAATTTTTAATCATCATTTTCTTAATAATCATTTATGTTTATCTTGTTCAGTTTTATCCTATAAAAAGGTGTTGATTTAAAGGCATTTTTTGAATACATGAATTTACTGGTGGACGATGTTACTTTACAACTGGTGGACGATGTTATTTTAGCTAAAAGAAAACTACTTTACCTAAGATTGAAAATTGTTCAAAGTATTTAAAAACAATTATTAATTATATTTTAGTAAATTTAATTTAAAATAATAATTAAAAATATTTTAAACAATTTTTAATCAATATTTACATTACATAATATATTTACATTAAGCGTAATATTTGTAAAATTAACAAAATAGTTTTACGTCTTGTATTTGAATTAAAAAAAATGCAATTAATAAACAAATTCAATAAGCATTTAATAAACGTATTTAATAAACTATTCGAATAAAAACATAAGCATTTAATAGCGCCTTTTAAATTAAAGATAAATAAAGAGATAAGATAATTTCACAGTTCCGATATAAAATTTATGCGTGCGCAGAAATGGAAGTAAAAACGTAAATAAACGTTATTTTAACAGTAATTTATTTGAGATTTACAAAGCAAAACTAAGGTTTATCAAACAATATTATTAAACCTGTGCCATTAGTCTTATATTATTATTAAAAAAAGAGCCTGTCTAATCCATTTTAAATAACATATTAAAAAACAAGTGAAAAATTCAACTACCTTATTTTGTACTCTAATGTACTTAATGTAGTGTTTAAAGCTAAATTTATGCATATATATATATATATATATATATATATATATATATATATATATATATATATATATATATATATATATATATATATATATATGTATATATACATTCTTTATTTCTCATTGTTATTTATCAAGTCATTTGAGCTGCACCATTCCAACCAGAAGGAACTGTGTGGTAGATGTAATGTTCAGAACATTTAGTGTTAATATTAAACCCTTAATCATACATTATACAAGAGTTTTTTAGAATACAATCTAAACATTTGTTGCGATTTGTAATTTTTTTATCCAAAATTTAGCTTCTG